GTTTAAAAGTGTAGTCATTTAGTAGAAAGATCGATTTAATGACCTAAGATCACTTGACAATGTTGATGTCCCTTGGTTCTTTGTGTGTTGGTTCGAGTGATAGAGACCCCGGTTGACCTAAAGCTCTCATCTTTGTTTTTAAGTTTTCACTTGCTTTCGATTTCCAATTGCGAGTAGTGTTTAATTCAAATCCCCAATTTGCGAGTAGAATGTTTAGGACCTTTTCGGTTGAGTGATTTTGACGACTAGATAGTGGACGAAGCTCCGAAGAGCCTTCCTTTGAGAACGACCCGAGTCGGGTAGCTCGGTTACCACATGCCCAAAAATTTACTCAACATAACACAACTTTCGATTTATTTTCATTCGACTATAAACATCTTATATAAATTAATTTGTTGTTTTATTGTACTATTTAATAGTGGCTGCCACCAAACATGCACACTTTGGGAAGGATATGTTGATGTCCTCCTATCAGCCTACAAACAGTCATGTGCGGCTGATTTAAAAGTGCTAATAATACAACTTTGCCATGCAAAGTCATTTGATGATGGTATATATTTTCTAACATAATTTTTATTATCATTTATTTCTATTGTTATTTTAATATTGTTCCAAATCTTTTTTTTTTGTAGGTTCTGTTTTAGTTTCCAATATTTATGATGCTACAAAATTGATAGTCTCGAATGATGTTCCTGAGATTGTTGATTTCAAGCAAAGGTATAATTTCTAAGTCTACAATGCCTATTTATTCTGTAATTCTATTTTTTGATTAAATAAAAAATTAATTTATGATTATATTTTTATTTCACTAGGTACAATTCCCACACAAGGCCAAGGGAATCTTCATTCCCTTATGTTAGGTCTTTCATGTCTAACATATGTGACGACTTGCAATCCGGAATTGCACCTATCTTAAGTGTTGCCGAATTTTATGCGTCTGAAGAGGTATCATTTTTAATTATTACAATTTTTGAATTACTATTACTCATTCATAATAAATTAGCAATCTTTTGAATTTTTACTCATACTGATTTTTTTTAATTTATATTTTCAGCCAAAAGACTATTGGATTTGTGGCAACATTATTGATATTTGGAGGGATTGGTATTTTAATTCTTGCCCCAACTGCGTTCGGAAAGTCGAACCGAAAGATGAGAGATTTTGGTGCAACCACTGCCAAGACACCATTCCATTTGCAATTATTAGGTAATTACATTTAAGAGTCATAAAATTAGTAATAAAGATTTTTTTATTTGTGTTTACTCATTTTTTATTGATAGATACAAGCTGCATATTTCGGTGGGGGATAACACGGGAATGGTTCGTCTTTTATGCTGGGACAAGATTGGTAGAGAATTGGTTGGAAAGCCATGTGATTCTGTTGTTGGTGAATTGATTGAGGCAAGTGTATTTTTTATTTTAATTTTCCTCGGATTTTTTATTCTTAAAATAATACATGATCAAATGTTTTTAATACGAAATTTTAAATGCAGGAAAATGATGGCTCGGTTCTACCTGTTGACCTCGAAATTTTGATACACAAAGTGCTATTGTTCAAAGTTTCAAAGAAAAAGGGTCAATTTGGAACATACAGTGGTCCTTTTACCGTTTCCCGATTAACAGCCGACCATATTTTGGTCAACCGATTTGGTTCTTTGGCCAACATCTTCCAGGTTGGCCTGATTTCATAAATATAAAAAAAATCTTTCAAAATATAATAGAAGAATCATTTTTATATTATACAATATTTAAATAATTAATATGTTGTAAAAATTATCTTTTTTAATAGGACTCTCACGAAATCACCCCAGTGATCAAAGACTATTATGAAGCTGTTCAAGTAAACATTATATTTTTAGATTTATTATTATCAGCAGTAAATTATATTATTTTCATAACATTTATAAAATTTATTATGTAGGAATCAAATGGTGAGGAAGCCAAACCAAACAGCAAAGGAAAAAGGGTTCAAAAGAAACTATTTGAAGATGGGCCGAGCTGTAATGGGGAGCCAAAAGCCAAGAAAATAAAAGTTGAGAAAATCTGAGGGGATGGATGAAGATTAATATTAAATTGCAAGTTGGTTATGTGATATTAGTTTCAAAATCTACATTTTATGCTTTCAGATCCATGTTGTGTCAAAACAGCATGTTCAGAGATGTAGTTTGGAAATAATAATTGGTCTATGAATAAAAATTTTTGCCTTTTGTGTTTAAATACTTTTGCTATTTATTACTATCTTTTTGTCTATTACTTTAATGATAGAAATTAAGACAAATAACTTTTCACATAGAAAAACATAAAAAAAATAAAAAATAAAGCCAAATTATAACTACAAAACCAGAAATGCTTACTTTTCACACAGAAACTTTACAGTTATAAAATTTCAGACAAATTAACAGTACCAACTAAATGATGTTTTTAAGAAATTTAATGAAACCATGATTTCAGCAGTAGATATAGATGGCTGCCCTAAAAAAATGCTTCAGTTTTCTGCATTTGTTCATGTTTTTCAAATTTCCCACAATGAGTTTACTTAATTTTAATGAAAAACGTGATTTCAGCCGTAATAGATGTCACAGAAAATATAGAGTTTTGTAATACATCAAAATTCAAGAAATATGGTCAATAATCATAATAAAAGCTAACTAATGCACTTATTATATTCACCAAATATAGATGCTGTGGTTTGTATGTTAGTGTTATTTTTGTTATGTTTTTATTAATGTTTTTTTATTATTATTTTTATGTATTTTTAGTAATTTTGTGGGATTTTGGGTAGTTTTTAGGTTTTTTAGTAATTTGTAATATTTAAGTATTTGTGTGGATTTTTGTATATTTTTCTTATATTTTTCGAATATTTGTAAAATAAAGGAACGGTCGAAAATCTCGGAAGAGCAGGATTTTGGAAAGTTATTGGGCATGATCACATTAATAGAAAGAGGAGCTCGTTAGCTACACACAGGAAAAAGCGGAACTCAATTTCGAGTTCGGATGAGTTCGTACGGGACCGAAGCGTAAAATCGAGCAAGTTGCCGACACCTTGGAAGTTAAAAATACCTAAATAATTGTGTTCTGGGAGACATTTATATTGACATACATCATTGAATAGAGGGGTTCGTTAGCGACGCATAGAAAAAAACGGCACTCAATTCCGAGTTCGGACGAGCCCAAAACGAGCCCGAGAAGCAAAGCCGACCGAGACGTGCGCGAATGCGCGCGGAAAAATACCCTCTCGGATTTTGTCCGAAAATTTCACATTTTCTCTCAAATTTCCTATATTCTTTCACCTTTTCTTCCATTTTTCTTTGGTAGTTAAATTGTGGTTGATTTTTAGGTGAATTGTGGTTGATGTTGGTGAAGTGTGTTTGATTATATTTCTATAAATAGCTAGAACATCCAACATTTTATGTAATTTATCACCTTCCATGCAAGCTTGAACCAAGGGGGTTCTTCCCCTCTTCCCTCTTCATCTTCTTCTTTTTATTTTCTTTTCTTATTGTATGTTGTATTTGGAGAAGCTTGTATATGGATTCAACATTTGAAGATTGTTATGTAAGTTTACTTTCTCTTTAAATTAATTCATGCATAATGGTTAATTTAGGAGAAATATTTTGTTGTGTTGAATTTATTTATATGTAGCTAATCTTTTAGCTAGGGGTAGGGGATAATCATTTCGGTTTGATCTCGTTTATATGCATGATGATAACTCCATCTTGATGAGTTGTTTTAATTATGAATTGATAAATTAAACTTGGTAAATCTTTATAACCTAAGAGTGACACTTAGGTTAATTTTATGATATAATCAAAGAGTGACACTTTGATTTGTGCTTGATATTGATTTGTTAAGTTAAAGTTTGTTAATTTTGTGAATTACAACTTGTAGAACCGAGAGGGGAGGAGTTGTAAAAATAATCGATTTCATAACCGAGAGGGGAAAAATTGATAGAACTTGGCTCATTTAGAATAGACATGTTCGGAGACGTATTGTCTATGCGTTAATTGTTTCGTTAATTTGCTCATTTATGTTTTTTCCATATATTACGAGAGTTAGTATGGTTGAACCGCTAAATGAGTTGGTTAGTTGAACTACTTAACCGAGTTATTGATTGCCGTTGAATGAGTGTAAAACTGGAAGCGATTTATTCCCGATTCCCTAGCTTCTTTATTATTGTCTCGTTTATATTTTTAGCTAAATTATTATTTTATGTTATTTCTTAGTTGATATTTTAGTTAATTATTATCCAATTCATCTTGATTAGAATGTTTAGGCTTTATTTTCATCTTATATGTTATCAACACCAATATTAAATTCCGAACAGTTTTCCTCGAGAGATCGACCCGGGAAACGAATCATTTAATTCGGTGCTCGGTAAAATAAAATAATTTGTACACAACATTGTACATAGTAAAACAGACCTCAAATGCCGACTTTTCACAAAAATGACATCTTTTCAGTGTTAAAAATTCATCCAAATTTCAACATACCAACTTATCAAACACACAATATAGCAAAAAATAAAGCCCATAAAAAACACAAATAATTAAACTCAGAAACTACCTAATCAAATAACAGAATAATATTTGGACAGTCTGGACAATAATCAAATAATATTTTTCCACAATGAATTAACTCAATTTAATGAAAAGCATGTTTTCAGCACTCATACAGATTGCAGAAACAACAGAAAAATATCTAGACAATTTGGACAATAATCACAATATATATCTTTCCACATTGAATTTACTCAATTTAATGAAAAGCATGATTTCAGCAGTCATACAGATTGCAGAAAATAACAGAAAAATATTTTGACAATTTGGACAATAATCACAATAATATTTTTCCACATTGAATTTACTCAATTTAATGAAAAGCATGATTTCAGCAGTCAAACAGATTGCAGAAATAACAGAATATTCATCAGTTATGTATAATACCTTCCAAATACAAAGTAATTACTAAAATAATACGTTGGAAATACTCATCAGTTATGTATAATACCTTCCAAATACAAAGTAATTACTAAAGTAATATTCATCTTTTTACTGAAATACATACCTTTTTCCACAATGAATTTACTCAACTTAATTAAAGCATGATTTCAGCAGTCATAGAGATTATAGAAATTACATAAATACATCAGTTATGTAATACCTTCCAAATACAATAAACTCGGTCAACAATCCCAATTAAATATAACAAATGCACTTAATATATTTACCAAATATAGATGCTGTTGTTTCCTATATAAACAAACAAAATTTTATTTAGTGTACTTATCCCAAAAACACATCATCTAGACTTTTGCATTTTCTGCAGTTCATCAGCTAGGCCCAAAAATGGCACATGAAGACCAAACAAGAAGAGAATAAAAGCAAAGAAACAAGTTGGATTCACACACCAGCATTCATATAGAGCAGACAGTCAAAGAACGTTGATTCAACACAAACATGAAACGGTTATCCAGCGGCTACAGCATATTGGGCAACAAAAAGTCCAAACAAGATTCTACTGCTAATGGTACACAAGGTTCTACAACTAATGGTACACAGATTATAAGAATTAGTTACCTTTTAGCATCACCGATTAATGAGTCACCTTTTACCATCACTTCAATGTCCTTTCTTTTTTAAACACTTCGTTGCTTTTCCTTGACCAGTTCAGCGAACTTCGAATTATTGTCCCCTACATATATTTGGCAAAAAAAAAAATATTAGATGGAAATTCATACATAATAAAACAATACTTGTGTACAGGTAATGCAAGTTTGGACTATTAATGTACGTTTTTGAATGTCAACTATCTGTTTTGTTGAAGTTGTTAATAAGTTAGCATTTTTATGTACCTGCCATGTGATTGTCATGCTGTTAAGACCATTAGAACTTGAAAGCTAGAAATATAATATTATTTTCATTGTTAACATGTACTTATTTTACTGAAATAATGTTCAAATTACAGAAAATCTTCAAAGTTTTACAAAATAATTAATAGCAGAATCCGAAAATTTTAAATATCCAATGTTTTGTAGATATAATCATTGCAAAAACACATGAAAAACAACAATCTGAGTATATATCCATAGCAAAATTACAGTTCAAATCAGCCATATGCACTAAGAGATCAAAATGGGCCTCATTCGACCGCATAAGTTCACAGTACGGGTTGTACCCGTCCGTCGGAAACTAACCCTAACGGAAATCTCAGAATTCAAACTTTAAAAAATAAAAAATAAAAAATCACAAAACAACTCCAGATCTATGATTTAATTAAAATTTTAATCGAAGGAAAATGTTAAAAAAATTTAAAAAATCGAAAATGGGTATATCTTCCAAGATCTATCACGTAATCAGTGACACCCTCTACAGATCTGTATATATATAATATGGAAGCTAACCCAAACTGATGTCTCAAATTAAAAAGATCAAAAAATAATACAAAAAAAATCTCAGAAAATAAAGATCTTTACAGATAGATGATTTAATTAAGATTTTAATCGAACAAACACGTTTAAAAAATGTTAAAAAATAGAAAATTGTTGAGGAATTTAAGATCTATCACGTAATCGACGAACAAATCTTCAAATATGTATAGATCTAATATGTAATCACTCTTTTTAATAAAAAAAAGTTTTCAAACAATAAAAAAAATACAAAAAATATATAGATCTGTAAAGACCTAGCCTGTAATCGACCGATTTTCACCGAGATACAATGAATTTGTACATCGGTGTTTTGAAATCGGGTCGATTTCGATTTGTCGCCTCTTTTTTTTTTCGAAAAAATTGAATCTCACGTGTTTTTTCAGTATCTGCCTGAGAAACATAACTGAATCGCC